AGAGAGAGACACAGAGAGAGAGATCTCTCAGCTCGCAGCTCATCTGACAGAAATAGTTGCAATTAAAGACATTTAACAAACAGTTTCAATTACAACGTAACTAAAAAAGTGTGTTTTGACCACAGGATCACACATATTTCAAAACACACTCACAATAATGAACCTGAATAGCTGGTGTAATCTACTAAATATTTGAATTTCTTCATTAGTTGCTTGTTAAATTTCGCCCTCTGGTGGGATTAGCCGTCCATGCTTGCTTTCAAAACAGCAGGTCTAAAATAATGAGCTGAATGAGGCTGTGTAGAACCCCGTGGTGGGGTATTCTCATCGCTACTGACAGCGTTGGCAACCCTTCATCATAGAGTCACTGTTCATATATAAAATATTGCTCTGCTGTACGTGGTTAAAGACATTAAGCAATATTTACCTCATCTGTGCTAGATTTCTTGTGTGCAATTCTCTTCACAGATATCCTTTTCCATCCGCCCCCCCCCCCCCCAAAATAGAAAAAATAAAAAAAGTTAGTTACTTGCAATTGGTTAGCTCCTGTGAGAATAGTTGTATAAATGTTCTTTTGTTCTAATTTCACCATGTGCTAGGTAGACCTACAAACCCTGAGTACAAACTGGAGGTATTTTGAAGGTGTTGGTATTTATTAGGCAGAGGACCAAAAACCAAGATGTTATTAAGTTGTATTATTGGAACTATATGATCCAGCAATCTTGGATCTTGACCCATTCTAAGGACTACAAGTCAGGATGTCTCTGTCTCTGCTACTTTGATTATTGTTACCACTTGTTTTTTAAATCTGATTTTATGGAAGTACAATACTAAATCACTTGAGTACTCCTTAAAGAGGGAGATGAATTAAATGTCATCAACAATGCAAAGATAAACTAATTAATGTTGGTGTCTGTTTGTTTGGGAAAACATCCTTTTTGAGGTGACTAAAGCAACCTCCCCACTTGAAATAATGATCAGCTTCAGACAGAAACAATTATCGGTTAGAATTTCTTCATGACTGCTGTATAACATTCTTTACTAAATTGTATGTCGTTTTGACCTTACTTATAGTGACGGCTATCAAAGAAAAGAAGCTTTGTTTCCCTGATCCCATTAGAAACCGTGAACCCGTCATAAAATGTTTAATATTTAGACAGCCCATTCCCATGCCACATGCACACAACTTGACCATGCGAACTGTTGAAGCTGACTCCCACATGATGGCACTGCTGCCCTGTGCTCTTGTAACCCAATATGTGTCTGTATTTCTGAATAGGCATAAGTGACTGGCAGTGGAACCACTCAGGGCCACGAAAAGGTAATCCAGTAGCTAGTAGCAGAAACCCCTAAACACTCAATTATAACCTCTGCAAAACACAAGTGGCCAGTTTTTCTTCACGTACCGTGTAACTCAAGTACAGAAGTATTTCTTGTCTCTGAGGACTGGTGTTATTAAGGTTCTTCTGTTTTGAAGATATAGAGTTCTTGCTAATGTAAGGTTAAATTTCATGAAGCAGGATCAGTAGATCATTTAAATGAACCACAAACTGGACCATAACACTGAAGCTAGATGCACACTACTTCTCTATCTTGTATTACCCAGCTGTCATTTCTGTTTCTACTTTGACCTGATTGATAAACCAACTTGTACTCTTCAGAACTACCAATTATAACAGCAAACATGTTTGATAAAAATTGGGATGACCCGGTGGAGATGGGGGTTATAAATTACCCAGCAGGCATCCAACCATATCACAGCATGGCTGAGACGAGCCGATAAGGACCCTGTGATGTGCCGGACCTGAACACATTCCTCACATCAGTCCTGCAGTGTAGTGTGCATCCAGCCTTAGACATACAGAGATTAAGATGTCCTACATAATGTGTCACTGTTTCAAATGAAAGTTTTGAATGAAAACAAATGGACAGTTAGCCGGTTAGTCTATTGATCCTGCTTTTTGAATTTACCCCTCAGGTGAGTTGACGGTAGGAGAGATTTTAAATAACTCCTTCCAAGTCCTAATTGACAACTCTCACAAAGGTAGGTTTCTTCAACAATATTACCACAGTTGACATAATGTATTAATGATGTATTGGCATTTTCAGTGACCCAGCTAAACAGCCAAGGAGCATAGAGGGCTGTTGGCTTTCCCTGTTTTGGAGGGGTAGTATATTTCTACAAGGTTGACCAGCCCTAAATTTACTCTTGTCTTTTTTTTTTTTTAAACAAACAAAAAAAAAAACGACCCACAGATGCCAACAACGTGCACAACAACTCGGCCAGTACGACGCCAGTCACCAACTCAGCAGCTATCACCTCAGCTGTAAACCGTGGCGGCAACGCCAGCAATCCCGTCACCATCGCCGCTCAGATGAACATCGCCACCAGCACGGTCAACATCACGTCGCCAGTCAACCTGCAGCACCCAGTCACCATCACCGGCCCTGTGAACTTGGCCTCTGTCAACATCCCTACAACGGCACACATGAATATCGCCCACCCGGTGGCTATCACCACTCCCATGCCCATGAATATCACAGGGCCGCTCAACATTGCCATGAGGCCCATGGAGAGCATGCCTTTTCTATCCCAAGTTCTGCCTTCCTCCCCTCCCTGGTAGAGCCCTTTTAGCCCATGTAAGAGCTGGTCATGTTTTAACTGCCTAATAATGGATGAGCCTGTCAAATCTTAGTAAAGGCCCTCTAAATGGGTTGATAGTGTATTAAACTTGAAAAGGTGATAACTAATGTAATACAACCACAGATAGTAACCAGTGATTACGGCATAATTTGTCAATTCTGAATTTTATTTGTATTTATAGAACAAACGTTTCAGATACCCTTAATCACTGTTGGGCTTACAGTCATGTTAGGGGTCCAGCTAATGAATACTTTCATTATCAATTAATTTATATGTTTCTTGATTAATTGTAATTAAAATCAGACAGTTCTTAAAGAATCTCTCAATGTGGTGAAAACTGTTGGCAAATCAGTTTATTAGTCATCAACTAAGCTGCAGAGTATTGGCCTACATAGCATATGCACTTCACAGGAGAATCCGTCAAATCAACGGTTTATTCTATCATAGGTAGTGTTTTTTTTATATATATATATTTTAGATATTGTAATATAGGACATTTCTAGAAATTGAATAGAGAAAAGTTTTATTGATTCCAGATGGAAGTTTCTGTTTTTGGCTAACCCAGTGAATTAATTATATGACAGATCAAGGTACTTAACACATTGATGCAAAAACTCAATCACCATAAAGCAGTCCTGTTCATGGATTTACAATATTGCCCTCACTGCCCTGATAGTGCAGAAGTGAGAGATACCTCATTGTAAACCATATGGCATCAATTCTGATTGAATTCTGAGTTAATCTGTCGTACTGCTCACAGCTCTTTACCTATTAGTTGAGTTTCTGAGGGCCAAGTTGATCTCAGATATGAACAGATAATCTGATGCCTAAGTGTCATTTATTAATTTCTCCTTTAGCTATCAACTGCATTTCACAGTCTTCATCAGAGGATGGGGGTTACACAGTTGTTAAAGTGTGACCTCCAGAACTCCAGGCATAACAGGTGATCATATGGTCTTTATTGGCCTCCATCTACTGATCAAGACCATGGTATACAGTTGAAAGCTTGCAAGTGGTCTTGAAGATTATTTAGTCAAACTACTGTCTCCAATGTCAAGGGTGCTCTGATAAACTCATATTTCTTACCTCTTGACTACTTGAATGATGTCACAGGCCGCAGAATACTTCAGATAACTTATTTCACATGCTAATGTGACCCCATGCCTTCAGGTGGGGAGGACGTTCTGTGCAGACCTTGTGTATGTAAATAATGACCATTTTATGCCAAAGATTTTCTAAGTATAGTGTTTCCCCCTGAATGCTATATTTTAACACATAAGGGGGAAACCTTTTAAACAGCATTGAGACCTTCATGGGACACTAAATTCTCCTTTTAAAACACAGTAATGAAATTTGTCCCTGCAGCCACCCACCCTTCATCACTGTACTACCACCTCTGGAGCTGCGGTGTGGTGTGAGCCAACACATACTGGGGTTTACCCAGTTACATTGAAATTTCCCATCATATTATTGCAATAATAATTCAACGTTTTGCATCATTTTAATACGTGATCATTTGTATATTAATGTTAAATTGCTTGCATTACTGTAAGTTTATCACATTCAAAAGGTTTCATTACACTTTCAAACTAGTGTTTTCTTCCACTGTAAGATGGTTTCATATTATTGGGCAGTTACTACAATATCAGCTGCTGCATGTTCACCCATATTGTTTGCATTTATCCCCATGCTTACCCCTTTTTCAAACTTGAGTAGTTTGTTTTACTCTGACAGATAGTTGAGGCTGAGTCGGCTCATAGCAGCAGTGTTGGCAGTTAACACATTATACGCTGTGCAGATGCAAACCCTCTTAGAGCCCTTTTCCAAAGTCTTTCATTTCTCTTTAGCCACTGAAGGACTGTGTAGGTCTTGTAAAAGTGACCAGTTGAAAATGATTTCATCAACTGGCCATCTGACTATAAACATGGTGATGCGTGATACCTTACTATACCTTAGGCATTGTTTAACAACTCCTTAAATGGAAGTGTATTGCTGGAGTTGTTCTTAAATGCTTCCAGTTAAGGCAAATATTGTCATGTTCTTTTTTTCTATTGTTCTTTTTAGTGGACTTATCAGTATTTGATAGTTTATGTATTTTAAAGTTTAATTATAAACAAACAAAGCTTCCATTTTGGGGGAGGGGGAGTGATTTTGTGGAGTTCACTGATGGTTCAGAGGCTGTTTTGATCAACCAGTCCCCCTATGTCTGTATTTTAAAACAGCTGGAAACCAGTCACTCGTAATACTCTACACAAGTTTGTGTGACATCTGTTTGGGAATTTTTGTATGTATTTATATCAGGACATGACAGTTGAAGGTACAGCAAAGAGGAAATGTGTCGTACTGAAAGCATGTCCCCTAGGTTTTGCCCTTAAAATGGCAGTATTATCAAAGGTCAAATGATTTTAAATTTTGATTACTGAGGACTTTAATTGTAGAGGTCAAGAGAGCCATCCAGTGGCTCATTAGACTCTGTACTACAAAAGCGGTCCCAAAGTTAACTTTTGTGCTATGTTCAGTTGGTTAGATTGTTTACTTTAGCAGGTATAGGATCCCATCACTGTCAGTCAAACTCAGGAAGGTTACTGAGAAAAGTCTTAACACCATGTTCAACAATTTACACACTGACCATTTCTTTGTAAATATGAAACACTATTTTATTGCCTTTTACCTGTGGGAGGGGGATCCTCTCTACATACCACAGGCTAGCAATGCAAGAACTCTATCACCACTGATGTGGCCGTCCATCCTGGAGAGGACAGGGAAACGAGCAGAGTAAAGGATAAGGCTGGTGTCAGTATCTTTTTATTATCAACGAATCCCATAAAAAGGCTAAAAAACAAACCAATGTCACCTGTAACTACGGCTGGATATAGCTTCTGCTGCCGTTACCATACCATACCATACCAAAAACAGTTCACCCTTTTTACAGTTTTATGGCAGTGTTAGTAATATGAGGCTGTAACTACCCGTCATATGTCGATTATTATTATTGTTATTATTTTAGATAGTAACTCCAGCCTTATCCTTTTACAGATTCATTTTCTCTCTAGATCTCACTTGCATAGCTCAGAGTGTTGTTTATTTTTTTGTTATTTTATTATTGTTGTTTTTTTTTAATCCTGGCAGTTTATCTTTAGTGGAAAATTGAGGCTGTGGTCACAAAGGAGGCTTCAGTGTCCTGCTCAAAGCTCAGGTGTACCTGAAAAAGCAAGATGTCACACCTACCCACATACCCACACCTCTTGCTGTGTGGGTATTGTACCTCTGTGTATACTATTTCTGGAGTCCACTTGAAGGATGTGTTCCCCTAGGCCCCTTTTCCACCAAGTTAGTTTTTGGGACCTTGGTGTTATCTAGCATATGAGCCCAAGTTTCAACAATAGTAATCACATGCATCACCAACATAGGGCACTCCACAATGCACAACGACCTGTAGAATATGACACACCCAAAACCTGCAATTTTTTGGTTCCAGTTGGGAATAACTTTTCAGGTTCCGAACCAATTTATTTTTGGTCAGAGTGCCCCACACTGTTCAAAACTACATGCTTGAAGCAGAATGGAGTCAGTTCCCAGTTGGTGGAAAAGGCCTAAAGGACTGCGACCGTGCAGACCGTCCACATGGTCACAACAAATTGGCAGTACACAGATGTCTGCACTGCATTTTGGGTTGATGGCTTGAAGCTGACCCATAGTGTTGATATTTTACAGTCTGGGAATGAGACAAAACTATCAACTATCGTTCTCGACTCTGATTGGTTGTTTTCATTCAGTCCCAGTGGATTCTTGCAAATGCCATTAGCAGCACTAGGAGGAGCCAGAGGAACCTGATTGTTGCACAGAATATCTGTCTCATGTACTACTGTCAGGATATAGTGAAAGTTTCAGTGAATATGAGAAGACATATTTTTATAAAAGTTACCTACTGCAGCTTTAATGGACAGGGAGAAAAACTGCAGCAAAAAGTGAATCATATCTTCCAACAGCTCCACCTAGAGTCCCCGTTGGAGTACTGCGCTGTGCCTGAATTTCAGACGTGTTCAATGCAACGCATTCAGAACAGGTTTACAGAACTCACCAGGTCACGACCAAACCCGTGGACCGTGACTGAACAAAGTCTCCTTTGTGATCGCAGCCTCAGTATTTCCTGCACCAGGCTTTGCATACTGTCCCACAGTTCCCTGGCTGTGTGTTTCTTGGAGAACCCAAGTGAATTAGTTTGTAGATGTGAAGCCTTTTAGTAGTTAAGGGCCTTTTCTTTCAGTGCAGGAACTCTGAAGCACTTGCAGCAAACTGTAGGTTGTGCACACTACAGAAGAGTGGTACTTAGAGGTGCATTTCAATGAGGTGGAATGAGACAATGATTGGTGTTTGTTTTATAGTTCACCTGGCCACATCTGCATTTTGGCAGCCCAGATGTTCGGCCCAATAATTTCATTGTATGCATGCCAACACTGTCCACCAAAGGAGATGCTCTAATGTGGAACAGCATTATGAACTGATTCCCATTCCCGTTTCCCATCTTTTTTTTTTTTTTTTTTCTTTTCCAATGTTGCATGTGGATGACTGACCTTGTCCAGTGTAGGTTTGAGTTCAACAACCGTTATTAGAAGGGTAGTGAATTTTTATGAAAACAAAACACTAAAAAAAAATTAGGATGAAAGGAAGTGTGTGGTGTCAATTGTCCTTCTCCAGTGGCCGTAAACAAAGTGTGCCTGAAATACTTTGCAAGACTTTTCCACGCGTCGATGCTTCCTCCTCTAGATGTGCTGTGTGGTGGAATCGTTTTGTGAAAGAAGCCTTCATCAGTTCAGACGGCCGAGGGCCCCACAGTTCTGACAGCCAAAACCATGTTGTGATTAGCTTTTTTTTTCATTATTATTTTACACCCAATGATTGTGAAGTTATTCTACTTCAGGAACAACCTTAAATTATGAATTGACATCTTTATTTGAGGTCCTATAAATGTATTGGTGATATCAAACCATGTGGTTTAATTTTTTAATTTGACTCCAACCTAATGTGAAAAACAAACCATTTATTTGGGCAAAATAATTTGGTAACTTTTTTTTCTTTCTTTTCTGTGAAGTTTGTATGATGAATTTGGCAGATGTGAAGGCAAATGAATGTATATCTTTGTACAAACCATTTAGTTCAGAGGACATGTTAGTTATGACACATGCAAGAAAAAAAACCTTTTATAAATCTTTTTGTATTAGAACATTAACAATGGTAATTTTTGTATATACAAAGGTTAGGCTTTCTGATTAGCAGAAAGGTAAAACATTCCTACATTTTTTTTAAATGTATGTCCATTGAGAATAATTATGGAAACATATGCGCAATGTTTTATGTGCCTTTTATTTGGGTTTGTCTAAATAAAAGAAAACAATAAAACATGATTGTGGACTGTCCATGCTGAGTCCCACAGAGGAAAGTCAATCCTGTCCATCTCAGCTGAATCTCCAGACTGCCCCCCCCTCTCCCCGCACTCAAGACACTCCCCTAGATCAGGACTCCTTTCTGGTCTTAGATGCTTTTCCTAGCTTTAGTTGAGGTTTCTGGGAGGCTGAGATTGTCGGTTAAGTCCCCGGTCTGTACGGATGGCTCCTCACTGTTGGCCTGCTCATGATGAAAGTGCCTCTGTGACTTCGCTTATTGGAGTGGATTGTGGGGGATTTGTGCCAAATCATGGTCTGTATGTGACGACAAAAACATTTCGGTGTTTTTTCATTCTTTAACTATTAAACTTGGAAAATGTGACGGGCTGCGTCTTTGTGCGTCTTTGTTTGACACCGCGTGGTTAACTGACGTGTGAATGTGCTGTATGATGAAAGGGAATCCAGCTTACTGACATACATCATGTTTTATACCACTCTAAAATCAAATTTAAAGAGTTTAATTCATTTTCCTTATATTATTGAACGTTTTACATTGCAGTAGGAAATGCATAAAGAGATATTCTTCCAATTCGTAATCTCTTTTTAGGGTCAGATGTCTGATTGTTCTAGTGGCACACGCAGGCACCGTCATCGCAACACTAAACCTTTAAAAATCAAATGTTTGTTGTAAAATTACAGAAGGAATCATTAGTGGAATATCTAGAAACATGTTTCTTTTTTAAAGTGTTTTTGTCTTTTCATGTTTATTCAAACACCCCTCTAGACTCCATGTATTATTTTTATTTTGCTGTTAGAAACGTAGTATGAAGACATTTTAAAATGTTTTTTCCTTGAACTAGCAAAAGCCCAATGGAAAACTGTTTACTATTCTATCTTCACTCCCGAGAGCTCTTCTCTTTCTTTCACAGTTGAGAGATTTGGCTGTCATGAACTGATGATCCAACAGCAATTATGTACACAATTCTAGAAAATGCTATGACTCAGTTAGTCCTGTGGGTGGTGCTCTAAGCTTGCAGTTACTCCACATCTTTAGTTCTGGTTTAGGGTGGAGCAGATAGAGCTTCTGTCACGCTGTCAGCCATTCTCAGGTTCCACTTTCTGATACCAGTTAAGAAACTGGACTTTTACCTGTCCTTTGTGTGACCGCACTGGTTTTCAGATTTTGCCTGAATCAGAACTGAAAAAATCTGATTCCATGTGATTTGTGCTGTTTACACAAAAACTGATTTGAGAAAAAAAAAGAATAGATTTCAGCCACTTGTGCCTGCAGTATAAACACGACCGGAGTGCTCTCCATGCAAGCTTCTGGAAGCCTCTTATATAATAAAATATATCAAACAGATTGAACTTTGAATGTTACAATAGTCCCATCTGAGCACCAATTTCTTGTTAGTTCAGTCAGTCTTTGACTAATTCTAAAGAGATTTTTTATTTAAAAGGTTTCCTCAATGTTGAAACACTGGCTGTACTAAGCTCAACCTGGTTGATATACAGTATGTTAGGCCTCACAAGGCAGTCAACAGATCCCCAAAAGCAGGTGGCTTGTTCCCCTCAACATTCAGTGATAGTCCAGAACGCACTGACAGTGTTCACTCAGCCCTTCTTCCAGCTTGTGCCACAAGAAGTACGAATGCAAAGCAAACAAAGCAAAACACTGACCGTTCAACTGTATAAAAACATATTCTAATAATATCCAATTCTGTATAGTTAATATATTTAATGGTCCAGTGTGGAACATGGGTGATCTATTGTCAGAATGCTGAATGTAATATTGATTTTCATCTAATTTTAATTAATTTAATAATTTAATGTATGATGACTTGAATGTAGGAATTATGTTTTTGTTACCTTAGCGATCTGCAACTACACCATGGAACATGATTGGTATGTCTTGACTGCAATTTGAAATGACGCCTTCATCTTCACAGTCAACAGTCAACAGGTCTGCTTTATGCTTAAAAGCACAATAATAGAGGAGAGGAAACTGGGCCTGTTAAACTGTATAAAAACAGAGTACATGGCCTATAGTTTACTGTGTTATTGAGTTGTCCCCTGTGTTGAATGTCATTAAAGGGATAACATCGCTGAGAGCTTCTTCCTGTCTCTTATTCCATGCCGCACAATTTTTTTTTTTACTGTCTTTAATCAATAGTGACAGCTGAAGAGTAACAGGAAAAGGCGGGGAGAGAGAGGACGACACACAGCAAAGGACCACAGATCAGAGTCAAACCCATGGCCGCTGCAGCAAGGACTCAGCCTTTGTACACATGTTTCTGCATTAGGTTCCTACTGAAGTATAATTCTTTTTTCTCACACAGGAGAAAATATTGCATTTGTTGGGGGTTATTCTCAGCAGCAAATTCACATTTGGTGCTCTAGTGAGTATTTGGGGCAGCAGTACAGTGTATGTGGGACTGAGTCAAAATAAATGACTGTGTGTTCAATGTTCATGTCACCGAGCGCAACAGTGTGGCTCATTGATGTGTAGCTCTAATATGTATATGTATTTCCACATTTAACTGTCTATACACACTTGACCTATGCCTTATATGTAGTTGAGTTGTGTACTTACATTATGCCAAATGATTCCAACAATGTTCAAACTCAGAGAAATCTGTCTGGTCGCCTG